ATACATTATTAAAGAACCGACGTTAGAGTTTTGTGTCGCGGGAAGCCCTTCATCTTCTCAAAGGGTGGGGATATCATAATGTGATTGTTGAAGGCGATTGTCAGCCGATTATAAAGTTACAGGTTTGGGTTGATGATTAGTTAGTGGTGTTCAACAATATTTCTTCTCTTCTTTTAGGAGTGTTCAACGATGTTTCTTGCTCATTTATTGAGTAAGAAGGCTCTTAAAGTCGGTTGTGATAACTCGAAGTGGTGCATCTGGCCCTCGTGGCTGTTGCAAGTGCTCCTTCCTGAATGTATTTCATTTCCTCTTCAATGTTAGTTGGTCTGTTTGATGCAAAAAAAAAAAAAAAAAAAAAAAAAGAAAAAAAAGAAAAAAGAAAAAAGAAGGTTACTAAATAAGGTACTATTAGAACTTGACAATTCATGAAAATAAAGTTTCTGAGTTATCAGAAACTTTATATATATAATGTACTACTAGAACTTATGACAATTCAAGAAAATAAAGTTATCACTTGACAATTCATGAAAAATATTGTGGCTCTTGAGCAGATCAATTAAGGACATTTATTTCTTTCACAAGAAGAGAGATGCTAAGCATTCCATGTTGCCGGCCACCAAGGCAAATACTGTGTTTTAGATAATGTAGCAGGTGTGTGTACTGATTATATATATATATATTCTTAGTATTAAATTATAAACTTAAAATATTATTTTTGAATCAAATAAATTATAAAATATGTATAAAAAATAAAAATTCTATAAAGTTTTTTTTTTTATAAGTAAAATTCTATAAAGTTTTAGTTGTAGTATAAGATATAATATAATATAATATAAGTATATGCCATGGTGCTTAATTCATGTTTTGAGAAGTTATACTTTGATTCATATGATTATCATTATGGACAAAGGAAAAATTGTTTGATGGTACAAGACCATTAGTCCACTCCAATCAAAAAATTTTAATTTTAAAAAAAAGACTTATCAAATTTTAATAAGATATTACAAAGGTGCTTGAACATGAGTTTTAATTCTATTGCATCACCAATCAATGCAATCAACTTATGGGCATGAAGTATCTAATAATTACTGTGAGAGAAAAAAAACTTCTGGTGATTTTATACACACACATGTGCGTGTGGATGTCAACTCCTTAGGACTTGATAAGATTAGGCATGAAGTTAAAAGCTGTATTTTAATTATTTGGGTTAATTACACTTACACTTTCTGAAATTTGCCCTATTGACAACAAGACAAAAGTTAACCCATTTTTAAACAATAACATCCCTTCAAGTTTGATAAAGTTAACAAAAGACACAAGATAAATTGATCCTATTACCTTTTGACTTATGAATTGACCAATTTAAATAATGAAATTACCATTATAACCTTACTAATTATTTTAATGGACAAAACTAACCCCATATATTCTCTCTCTATATATGTATATATGCACATGCGCATACCCGGTGCCCAAAAGAGAAATATATATATATATATTTCCAACTACAGGAACTGATCTTCACAACCGTTGCCTGTAATTTAAAGCTCAAGATATATATAATAAAACATTTCTAGTTCCAACTACAGGAACTGATCTTCACAACCATTGCCTGTAATTTAAAGCTCAAGACCAAGCCTAATACATCCCTTACTTCTTTAGCCACATAAATAGACTCCTCTCACCAGCCTTTAACATCATCATCAGTACAAAATCCATAGCACATTGATTCAAAAAAAAAAAAAAAAAAATGCAAGTTGGTGAAGGAGGCGATGGTGGGTATTGTGTTTGGGGTATACAGATCAACTCTTATATATACATACAATACATACAATTGCATTATATAATTAATATATATAAAGAAGATCCTAAAAAAATCACCCACCCACCGCCAAGAACGTACTGCATCTAAATGCTGAAGACGGCAGCGGCGGAGCCGCCGCGAAATCCAATAAACTAATTGCAAAATTCAATCCAATAATAGTGGCTGGAAGTTGGAGACCGACGTTCATCTGTTATCTTCAATTCCATAGGATACATTTCATTACTCCACCACTGCCACAACTTGGGCCACCGATACCTACCCAAAAATTTCGATCATTGAGAGCCCCAATAAAACATCCAAACACGAAATCAACCCAAGAAAACAATAAGATCTGTCAGAATTGATGACAAAATCCACAATCAACCGGTGACACTGAGTAGGAAAAGGAAGGAGGCAGTGGTGATGCGGAAAGCCGACGACAACGATTTAGGTTGGATTACAGTGGAGAGAGAGAGAGAGAAAGAGAGAGAGAGAGAAGGGCTGGCTGTGGCGATGATTGGTAGTGTAAGGGTGGACAAAAGGTGGGCACGGTGGGAGGAGGTGGCAGTCGCCATGGTGATGGTGGTCACAGTGATTTGCAGGAGCAAGGGTGAGTCATATATTTAATAGAAGTCATTTTTGCTTTATTTGCAGGAGTGAGGGTGAGTCATATATAGGGTGAGTAGTGGTAGAGATGAGTGGGGAGAGAAAGAATGGTTGGATGGTGGTGGAGGTAGCGGTGGTTAGGAGGTAGATGGTGGTGGTGATTGAGGAGATTGAGAGCCTAGAGAGAGAACGTAGGATAATTTTGTTTTTGTTTTTTTTTTTTTTTTCAATAAGGGTATTTTGGTCACCTAATGAATCTAATATTTTAGATCAAAATATAAATAAAATATTAAAGGGTAAAGTAGACATTTCATCCCTTTTAAAGCTCTGTTTGGCTTCAAAATCCAACAGGGGTGTTATTGTTCGAAAACTTGCTAACTATTATCTGACTGTCAATACGACAAACTTTAGAGGTGTAAGTGTAATTAACCCTTATTATTTTTAGTGCTTATTAAGGTTTTTTTTTTCCTTAAGTTTTTAACTTGCTCTTTTTCTATGTTATATTCTAGAAATACTGTAACAATGTGTGAAATGATTTTATTCTAATAAAATAACTTCCAAGATTTATCGGATTGGGGCTGATCAACTGAAAGGACAAGACTTCTGAAATTGTCTATACCTTACCAGAAATAACCAATACCTTAACTGGATCTAGCTTTATAAGGAATGTAGTTGCTTCATGGTATACATCTGTGTTTCTGATTCGTCTGCATCTATTATATTTAGGGTTAAGTGTAAAAAAAACTTACAACTAACTTCCTTCCTGAACTATGCAAAAAAGTTACAGATCACCCCATCCGGCCAAGTTCCGGTGAATGTTGACTGTTAAAAATAGTTGACTTATTTTAAAATACCATACTGCCCCTAGACGCATGAAAGGTCTAAAATGCCCTTACTTTCCATCATCCAAAGGTAAGCTCACCGCTGCCATCATGCCGCGAAGCACCCAATCACAATTGAGTCCTCTCTACAACCCGCCGCCACCGCTGCGAAAGCTCGTCGTCGCCGTCTCGCCCCCATCTGAGCACTGCCGAAGTTCATCCACAATCCATATTGCCCATTTTTCTGTCAATCGCCGACATGCACAAGCCGCCAGCGCCAACGCCGGATCCGTCGCCGCTGTGCCAGTCTCTGATTTGCGCCGGAATCGCGACTTCTCTAGTCGCTGTTCTGCATTGCCGAGCTCTCTCTCGCTCGTCGGCTGCCATCACCTTTACCCCCCTCTCTCGCTCGACGACTACGACGATGATCGATGCAATTTTCGGCGGCAGCAACGTATAGTTTCCGATGACGAATTGCTAAGAGATCTTTCAATTTGCAAAAGAGCGGCAACGAGGTAAGGGAGTCGACGGCGCCGCCGTCTTCCGTTACGAGCTTCGTTTACAGCAATCAATTCCTTTATGGGTACCAATTGAAGCGAAAATCGCTGCTTCAAAAGCTCGGAGATAACATATCCCCCTTTTGTCTTCACATTCGTGTCGATTTTGATGGTTCAGATTGAGACTCAATTGCTTGTTTCGGCAAACCCAAATTGAGAGCATCGACTGGTCTAACGTTTGATGATGCAAAATCTCGTGGTGGCATTCAACAATCCATCGATATGCTCCCTCTCCTCTCTGTGTCTCTTTGTGATTCTTTTATTTCTGCCAATTGCCATGGACGAAATAAGAATAAATTGTTATTCTTTTTGTTTAACTGATACCCTCAAATATATGAAACTGATTGTTACAAAACTGAGGCTTTTGTGTCTATGTGATAAGCCGGATTGCTGAATTCGCCGAAGAGGGTCGTGGTATCTCGGAGCTTGCCGTTGAATCAGTCGAAGCTCACTAGAATTGGAACCAAACAGAACCACAACTCACCCAAACTGGAACAAAAACTCACCGGATCTGGCGGGAACGGGCTGGTGGTGAGTTCATATGGATGCCTTGTGAAGAAGATGAACAGTGCATATATATGTATGTGTGTGTGTGTGTGTACAGAGCTGTTGTTATCCCTTGTGTTTGTCACATCAATAATTCAATAAGTCTATTTAGGAAGGGCAACAACATCTTTTTTCTTTTCCGGTGGCCTGAGTAGGCAAATTGCAACAAATTAAAAGTTCAAGGGGATTTCTTGTAGTTCCGGGGGTTAATGGCAAAACCCCCATAATTTAGGATTTTTTTTTGCACTTAACCCTTATATTTATTCGAGCAGAGAATCACATCTTCCTAACAAAATCGGATGTGCCAGACTACTTATCAGTTTCCTTCCATATATAAGAAATGATGAAAAATTGACACGATTGCCAATCTTTAGTTTTGGATGGATTTATATTTTAGCATTGCAAATAATTCATGCATGTTCCTTGTTCAAGTTTACTTCTCAATTATAAAAATTTTACCGTTGTCTTTGTATATGAAAATGGTATTTTTGGTACTTTCCAATGCCTTTTTACTGCTCTTAGCAGGCTTATGGCATGGCTTCCTAGAATTTATGAAGACGCAAAGAGTTGATAATCTTGCCAATACAATCCTGTGATTTCTTATCGGGCTTTGGCCTAGCATAAAAGCAAGGGAGGGGTTCGAATCTTAGCGTAGACAAAAAGGTGTAGGTGTAGGGGTGGGGTGTGTTTGCTTTACGATGCATATAACTTAAATAAAGACAGAATTTGGCCCATACTATTCGCATGATTTTAAAATACAAAATAAGAATCACAAACTTGTATAATGATTAAATTCCATTTCTCTGATCCAAAGCACCAATGAGCACACAAAGAACCAGCATCCTACACCGACAAAACAAACCAGTTTGAATTAGATTATCTTAAACACACCAATTTACACACAGTTCAAAAAACCAACTTTGTGAAAAATAATTAAAAGAAGTTCATCTGACAATCGCGGAAGCTCTTGTTTTCCAGTATGACTTCCCAGTAACATGAATGTTCCAAAATTTTACTTCTACACTTTCTAATTTGTATTGATGGCCCAAGGTCACTTCTGATAGCAATTGCCAATTGGTAAAAAGCAGGAATTAATTTCATATGATAAATTTAAAAAAACAAAAAACTACATCATAAAGAAGAAAAGAAAAACAGGAATGAATTATGTAGACCCTTCGAATCTTGATATATGGTTCAAGATCGTCACAACTCATCATTCCGCAACAGCATTGTAGAAAACAGAAGACAAACATGTATAGAACAACAAATTTCAAATATTGGAGACCAAAATTAAATTATCAAAACATAATTTTGGAATATGGAATGACTTGAAAGAATGACAAACTAATTCACACTCCTCTGCCAGTAACGCAAATAAGGCACTCAATACATGGTGGTGATCAATATACATAGAGTTGAAAATAGAAAAATACTTTTCCTATAGGCATTCTAAAAAAATCAAATTGTGGGGATTGATACATACCATTTTTCAATGATTGCTTTGCCTATAGATGTCAATAGACTTCTATGTTTACCTCTTGCCTCAGGGATGGTGTGTTTTTCATTATCCAGTGAGAAGCCATTTTAAATGGGTCGACTTGATTGGATCATTGGAGATGGGGGAAGGAAGAGGCTCCTGCAGAGCCAGCCCACTGGAATGCTGTTAAATGGCTTGTGCAGAACCTTGCATCCTTGGTTTCCATAATTTTGAGAGCTCATAAATCGATTATTTCCACAAAATCTATAGACACAAATTTATAGAACGAAGTAAAAGGAAGAATATTCAAAAAATAGTCATCCCACAACATTCGATAGACCCATAGATCCAACGAACAAAGATTAGAGTGGCATGCAAACCCTTGATACCAAGCATAAGAAAGATGCTATAGCAATGCAAGTCATTGTTTGAACTTTTGAAGAGGTTACCTTAGATTTGTGGATCCGTACAGAAGAACAATGTAGAGAACCCAAAACTGAGATCTTGGAGAAAGAGGAGAGTGATCTACAATTGGCGTTGAGAAGAATAGATTAAAAGGTTGAATTGAAGAGAGAGAGAGGACATCATTTCAATGCCCATTTACAGAAGGGAGAGATGGGAACCAGTTACAAGACAGAAAGAGACGTTCATTACAGAGTTAATGTCCATCGGCTTCCGTTAATCCCTTCTCCTTGGTTTGATGATGTGTGACCTATAAGCATAAAGCTCATGAAGTTGACTGCATGGCGTGCCAGCAATTTGTCTGGACCATCAAATAAGCAAAGTGACATGGCTCCCGGACTACTAAAGAACTTCTCGAGTTAATCACCTTAAAGGACTAACAACCCAACCTGTTATTGGACTCTGCTTCCGAACTCTAATCCTATTTGAACCACTTTGCAAGCGGTCAAGAACTGCGTATGTGATTGAATCCGGTGTTAATCCCTGTTGTTTAAGCTTTGCATACAGATCAACTGCTTCAGCAGTTCTCCCACACTTCTCAAGACAGTCAAGTAAGATATTGTAGGTCACAATGTTAGGGTAACAGCCTTTAACAAGCATCTCATCAAACAGCCTGCAAGCCATCTCAACTTTATCGGTCTTGCCAAAGCACTCGATGAGTGTGCTATATGTGACAACATCAGGACTCAAACCCTTCTCCTCCATCTCTTTGAACCTCATGTGTGCTTCATCAAGATCACCGTTCTTCCCCAGGCAATTGATTAAAGAGTTGTAAGAGATAATATCTGGATTACAGATACTGTTCTCAAGTTCTTCAAAGATTTTAAGAGCTTCATCAACTCTTCCAGCTCTTCCAAAGCTAGAGATCAAAATATTGTAGGTAAATATGTCTGGTGAAGGCCCATCTTGTTTCATCTTTTCATAAAGATCATGAAGATGTGAAATCTGCTTCAGTTTGCCTAGAGCGGAGAATAGTGTGTTATACATAATAGTATCAGTACTTATTCCCTTTTCATGAACTTTACTCAGTAAATCTAAAGCTTCTGTTATTTTTCCTGCATTGCATAAACTCTCTAACATGGACAAGTAGGCATCCCGATCACCCTTATCATGGAAGGTCCACATATTGCAAAAAAGCCGGTGAGCCTCACTTGCATGGCCTAATTTGCTCAGAGTCCTCACAAGATATGCATATATTGACTTATTCATGAATTTATTTGATATTTCTACAACCTTATCAAGTTTTCCCAGGTGGCCTTCTGCAGCCAAGACGTTCAGAATGAGACTATATGTAAATTCATTGGGCCGACAACCATTTTCCACCATCTTAGAGAAGAGAAAGATTGTCTTGTCAACCATCCGGCCCTTAGCAAGTGCCTGAATTGTAGTATTATAAGCAATTAAATTTGGAGTGCAGCCCTTTGCTAACATTTCCTGAAAGAGTGCCAGTGATTCATCAAATTTACCAAAATTTCCAGTCATTCTGATCAAAATTGTGTATGTATACTCATCAGGCTCACAATGCTTCTTTTTCATGTCTCCAAAAACCTTGTAAGCCTGGTCAACCTGTCAACACACTGCATATCAGATAATTAGGATTATGAAACTGATATTTGTAAAAAGACAATCAACTCAAGGACACAATCACCTAATCAACCATATTGTTATTCAAAATTATCACTAACTTATTTTATCATAGCGTTTAGAAACACAATGACCTATTCAAATTAAGAACACAATGACCTAATCAACCATATTGTCCAAAACTTTTAAAGGTTGTAAGCAAATGACTCCAACACTTTGACACATTACAACCCAAGTTTTGAGTAAGAAATTGTCAACACACGACTCTAATTCCTAACACATCCAAATGCTTAAAACACAATCACATAATCAACAACAAAGTTTTGTAATATAAAAACTATCACTAATTTATTTCTTTCCCAATGTTAAGAGTGTTGAATTGTCAAGTTGACCATGCTGTGCCTTACCATCAAGTTTTTCCAAGCACATCATCAATCTATCTAATTGTTGTGCAAGTTGCATGTCTAATCAGGCATTTTCCTCTCCAGCTCTTCTATTTTATTTATTTTTTATTATTGTAACTATTCCTCTGTAACTTTTACCGTTTTTGTTGTGAACTAATTATCATGGATCAGAGATAGTATTACAAAAGTCAGACAGTCAATTGCCATTTATAATACACTCAACTAATCTGTTACTTGAAGATTAAGTACACTAAATTATACATGCATTATAAAATTTCACATATATACTTCCTATGAGGTTAAAGAAGACTTCAAAGAAAATTATCTTCACCACACTTAAGCCCAACAAGTTTTCTACTAATATTATTCCAAGTTCTCCAAAACTGCAGTCTTTCTTATGTTCAAATTTTGTTTTAACCATTAATTCTTTTTTAATGCCTTTTCCACACTTTCAAATTTCTCCACCTTCACAAACGAGTCTTTTATTTAATTATTCATTTGGTTTTAGCAGCATAGTGATTGCGAGTATGAGACCAACCACTTTCCACAAAAATAATGCCAAAGGTCAAATCTTTCTTTAGTCTGTCCGTCCAAGCACCCTGCGTAGGTGCACTTAGCAATGCATAATAGAATCAAATTTTAGCAACATCACATAGGCTCAGTGACAACCAAACCTCTCAGCTCACTTCCATACTAATTTCGTATGCATTAACGTAATCAAAAACGATATATTTCTCCATTAAACTCCTCAATTTTTTTTTTTTTTTTATTATAAATAATCACATTATAAATTTATGCAATTACATCAAAATGAGAAATTTTGAAGTAACCAGAAATATAGAAGTGAACTATAACAGAAAGATGAATAGAAATCAAACCTTTTCATCCTTAGCAAGGGCATCAAGAAGCATATTATAGGCAAATATATCCAATTTGTACCCGCGCCTCCTCATTTCTAAGTAAACTTCAAAACCCTTATTCGAATCACTCAATCTCAAATAAGCCTGAAGGAGACACTTATACGTATAACAGTTCAAACTCAAATCCCACTTCTTCACCAACCCCAAACACCTCTCCAATTCCTGCAGCCCCTGGTCTCCAACACCACCGCCGAATATCCCGATCAAGATATTAACGGTGGAGATGCTGCCACGCACGCCGGGCCGCTCCATCTCGTTGACAATCTGACGGACCGTATCGAGGTCCGTGGACGAAGACTTGGAGAGTATGAGGAGTATGCGGTTGTATGTGAAGGAGTTGTGGCGGAATTTGGGGATGGATGAGGAGCAGAATCGGAAGAAATCTAGGGCTAGGGTTGTGGATTTGAGGGATTTGAGGACTTCTGAGGATTCGGAGGGGGTTAGAGTTAGGGTTAGTGTTTGGAGGTAGTCGGAGAGGTCGAGGAAAGGGTCTGATGATGAGGATTGGAGGATCCGAGTGACCTTGCAGATGAGGTCGCGGCGAGGGAGAGGGTATCCTCGGACATCGGTTTGGAAGGTGGGAGAGTCGACTTTGACGGCGAATGAGCGGCCGTTGTCGGATTCGACGACGACTCTGCCGCTGTATTTGGTGGCGAATCCACGGCGAAAGAGGTGGATTAGACGGAGGTGGAGGTGGAGGTGGAGGTGGTGGTGCTTCATTGTCAGTGTGAGCTATACAACTCGGGAGCTCATGTTTATGTTATTAGTGTACCAAACATAACCTATTCCTTGTTTTCAATAATTTTAAGAGTGAGTGTACACCTTTTGAAATAACGCATACACTCTGACATTTCTAAAATCTACAGTATTATTTCATAAAGCATTTTTTAGCTATACAACTCGGGAGCTCATATTTTCTTTGAAGTACTTTTACACTCTCATTTGTGGGATAATTTTGCCATAAATAATTGGAAAATGACATGAATTCGAAGGATGTTAAATGGATCATCTCCTCTCTGATTATTTATAATTTTATAAAATGTTATAAAAATTATTATTATTTTTTATATAAAAGTCAATTTTATGGGCCGAGTTTCTAAATTCACTAAACCACAATCATTTTATTATATTTGTCATAAATAATTAAAAAATGACATGAATTTAGAGATGTCAAATAGATTATATCCTCACGAATGATTTATAATTTTGAATAATTTTATAAAAATTATTTTGTTAATGTAAGAATCAAGCTGACTTTCTAAATTCACTTAACCACAACCATTTTATTTTATTAACATGACTCGATTTTTGAATCATACTAAAGTTATTTTATTATTAAAAAATTTGATTGCATTTCAAGAAAAGTTGACTGCTAATAATGAGAAAATTTAAAATAAGGCTTTTGTAATTTATGATCTCTAATGCATGAGAGGTAAGCACCACTCATTTTGTGTTGGATATAATAATACCTTCGTTTTTTTTTTTTCACAGTAGCGCCGAAGTTCTAGACAGAGGCAGAGAGATTACCTGGGGCTATGGCCCCCCAAATTTTTTAATTTTTTTTTAAAATTTTTTGTCCCTTTTAAATAAGGAGCCAACAAAACTTACCTATAAAAGAATTGCACCGTTTTCGTTATAAGAAAAAATAAAACACATACAAACGGGTAGTGTTAGTATCATTTTACAAACTTAAATATGTCTTTAACATAAATCTACATTATCGAAAAAAAAGAAAGTTAAAGGGTAATTAACCTTTATGAACTTTCAAGCAAAAGCACAAAACCCCCGTAAACTAAATAATGCCCCCTCAACTATTTAAAAAGTATAATTTTAGGGCAAAATCTAAATTTGCCGGCACCTGAGTTAACCGAAAATGTTGAATTACAAAATTGCCCTCTAGTAACAACAAATGAAATTGTGACAGCACAAAGACCTTATCACCATTATTTTTGGACAAAAATATCCGTATCATGTGCTGCCACATCATTAATAATAGGGGCATTTAAGTAATCTCATAATCCCAATCCCTTATTATTCTCTCTACAAACCACCGTCTTTCCTTTGAACCAGTTGTGGCGGAACCACCACCATCACCACCAGCACAGATGCGGAGGTATCATTCCAACTATCCCCATAACCACTACCATCTCCACCCCCATAACGCCAGCGAGAATCACGGCCAACTCCTGATATTTTGTCTCGGACTCGACTTGGCAAATCAAACCATAATAATCACAAAATCAACGTCTGCGTGTCCTTTCCTAGCAGCCATAGCAATTGTTGTTGTATGAATCTTCGGTCAACAACGACCGGTCAAGTACGTGCTCAAGCTCGCCGGCGTTAGCGTCGTCTTCCTCAACATCGACGAAGTTCCCTGCTGTCTCCTCTGCCACACCCATGTTCACACCCATTTGACACCAAAGCCGATCTCTGCCATCACCATCGAAATCTCACCTGCCACTTCTGCCATCACCGATCTCACCAATCAAGTCTCCGCCGAGATCGCCGCCGCCATCCATCTCAGATGGAAGTCGTATTCAACAACAGAACCTGAGTTCACCGAACTCAGCCTCAACCTTGGGCTCACCGTTGCTGCACCACCGACCGACCGCGAGCCCCATCAACCTCGCTGAAAGTCCAACGGCCGAACTCAGTCTCGTCGCACTCTCCAATAGTCGCCAAATCTGTCTCACCGCCGCCCACTGCAGAAACATCCAGCTGTTCCTCGCTAGTGCCGCGAGCCACCGCAAATCGTCCCAAGTCTGTCTCACCAGAGCTCATCACTGTCCATCCCTGCATCTGCCGCTACTCCACAACCGGCCAATCCTTGTCGTCTCCCCGCCGACCAGCGGAAGCCACCCTTTCCACCTTCAGCTTTAACCCTTTTATTTATTTATTTTCTTAATAGTAATAAGGGTAACTCAGTCATTTTGAAATTATATATTGGGTCAGTTGATGAATAGGTGCCGGAATAGTGTCACCTGGTGTTTTTTTTTTAGAAAAGGAAATAGATTAGGGGGTTTATTGTAAAAATAGAAGTTTAGGGGGTTTTTTTGGGAGAGAGAGTAAAGTTCAGGGGGGTTTATTGCCTTTTACCCAAAAATAAATAATACTTCTTCTGTTCCAAAAAAGATGTTCTGTTTGGGAAACTGTGAGGAAGGGAGGTAGTAATATTATTATAAGAGCATTATTTTGAATCGTTGTGTTTATATATATTTTTTTGTGTTAATTTGATGTGCCATAATAGATTTACACAAAACTTTTTGATTATTTATTTTTAACTCCAACATTGTTTTATACCTTTTGTATAAAAATATATCCCCTAATAACAATTAACAGTGTCATATCTGGACCCACATAATTTACAAACTTACTTAATATAGGATTAATTTGTATAAGAAAGAGGGAGAAAGGAAATACGTTACATATCGATGACGTGACAATGTATCTTAAAAAGCTTATGTAAAAGAATTATGCTTGAGATAAAAAAAAAATTTACACATCATACGTGACATTATATATTTTATATAAAAAAGTATTTTAACAAATTGGTAGAGATGCTCTAAGTTTATCGTATGTTTGTTCTGGAGGTTTCTTTACATGTCAACTCTTTTAATGAATTTCAATATTAAGTTATTACGTAAAACAAGAATGTGCCCGATTAATTCGGCAGAAAATTAAACAGACCATAAGCCGATAAAAAAGTTTTGTTTGGAAGCACCAAATTGGCCAATAAAAAGCTTTGTTTGGGAGCACCGAATCAGTACTTTAAATAGGTGCTTTAAATTTGGTATCGGAGCAAATTTAGTTCAAAATTTTAACTAATTTTTTTTCAATTCTAATTCTAATTCCAAATTGCAAAATCAGTACAATGCTATCAATACTCAATAGTCCAATACAATGGATCACAAACTATCAGTGCTCCCAAATATAGCATTACTCAATTCACAAAACACCAGAGTTAAAAGTTTTACATCATATGCTATCAATACTCAATAGTCCATAAAAACTATCAAAGGGTAGTAAAATTAATTACAGACTACAGTGCCGTGGCATTTTCAATATAAGGATCTGAACAACTTTCATCCGTGACATTTTCAATACATGGTTGTGAACAATCTTCATCCTTTTTAAACACTCTGTTGATCATCTCCTTCAAATTTTTGCAGCCCACAATCTCCATACCCTGAAAATCAAAATCTGCTAGAGAATTCTCAGCTGATTTGGGGAGCACACACTTTTTGTATCCCAGCTTTGCCACTGTATTTACCCTTTTCTCCATTCTTGGTACCTACATTTAATGAGGGGAAAATGGGGAAAAGTTATGGTTTTGAAGGGAAAGAATGAAAAGAGAAAAAGCTTCAATTTGAGAACACAAGGTGCAGGACTAATGAACTCAAGAAATGCTTTTCCACATTGAATAATATGAAACACTGGTTAACCACTGTTGCAATGGCTAAAACTCAAACTTTATACATGAACAGATTTAATGCCATACTTGAGGGAGTTAATGTTTATGTTACATGGGCTCATGTACATGTATTATGTGCACGTATGTGTCTATCAAATTTCCTAGGCCCAAATTCAAGCATACAAAGACATGAAACACTTTTTTCTAGCATATATGAAGATACTATGATGGAGAACGAGCTAATGATGATTCTAATGGATAAGCTGCACGTGTTCTGCCTCTACTTTTGGAGAAGTGGGAAAAGAGAGATGAAATTAGGGATTTGATATAATTAGGGCTAATTTTGCTATACAATTGATGGGGCAATTGAGACACAGGTGTCAAGAAGTCCACAAGCTCATAAAGTAATTAGTCTAAACTCCATACATCTTGAATACAAAAATATTTAGCATCTAATAACCTCTGCTATTTTCTATCTTCCCCAAGAGCCAAATTGGTCTTATAAATCATAACCGATATTCTCTAATATTACCAATTCTAAACGTTCTCAAAAAACTCCTGTATGCTATTAGATTAAGAAATGTAATTTTCTAGACATATACATGTGTCATATATTCGGTATGTACAAATCTTCATCAAATTATCAGTTCAGCACCCACGAAGGGGGAAAAAAACATAAGGTCAGTTTTTGTGAACTCCTCTGCTATCATATTCTCCTTTATCCACACTTTGTACTATATGTGCTTCCATAAATTCTAAATTTGTTAAAAAAATTTCGTCCAGTTATGTAAGCAAACCTACATAATTTAACACTCCATTTCATTTTATATTTAAAATTTCAAATATTTTTAAACAAGGCATGATTTTTTTTAAGGTTTAGGTTTCAATAAAATCTTTTAGTTCAGAAAATGACACTTCAAAGTGTTAAGAGGATGAATGCACTTTGTATCAGATGTTACTACAATTCTTTAAGGGGTGAATGCAATTTTGGATTGAATGTAGAGCTCTTCTAGAAGGAAAAAAAAAAACAGAACATGAAACTCCTGCCATTGCGGGTTCTGTGGAAGTCAAATGTACACGGCCTTACCTCCACATGCGATGTAGAGCTCTCCTAGTACTTATTTACATATAGATGATGTTTATAAAGGATTGTACACTGATACACCAAATGGAATGATATTTATAGAAACAAAAACATTTTATCCGACATTCGTGAAATATAAACTATATTCTCTAACACACAACAATATGTTTGCACAAGATTGTGTTATTAAAGGACCTGCAATTTGCACATGTGATACAGATTATGCCAAATCAGCAAGGCATTTGTGAACCCAAGGAAAAAAGCCTGGCTAGCAGGCCTCCTTATGCCAATCAGACAGGCATCCATAGATGGCATATGTAGAGAGTTTTTGCAGAAATTAAACTTTCAAACAAAATTAAATTTTTTTTTCTTCTGATAAGGACACTTTCAAACAAAGTTAAATAACGACAGTGACATACATGCATATCATAATAATAATAATAATAATACAAATAACAACTACTACTAAGATGGCATACGAAATATACGCACCGTACGAATCTCACCACCAAGACCAATTTCTCCAATGAATGCCACATTATTTGGAATAGCAAATTCCAAGCTACTGGTGGACACAAGAAGTTTTGTTAATTTAAAACAGAAACTAGTACATACAGCAACAGGGAAAGATGAAAGAGAAAACAGTTGAACTAGTTGCAACAATTAGGGCTGCAACTTGCACAGGTCAAACCTGACTCAACATGACTGCCGCCTGTTGGGCAAGTTCTGGCTGAAACTTTCTAGGGTTGGCTTGAGTTAAAAATCCCAACCTGACCTAAGGTTGTGTTGGGTGTAAATTGATGGCTATGGTAACCCATCAAAACCAAGAGCTAAATTAATCAAATGGAAATTTGATCACATGCAATTCAAGCCAATCATAACTATGAATGACATGTTCTTATTTAGTTGGTTAGAATAATTTAAAGCTGAGAAAATTACTTTCCAAGTTCCAAATTTTTTATTTTTTATTTTTTTTATAGGTAAAAATGTATAAAAGCACTCAAAAGGGGAGCGTATCCCAAGAGAACACACAAGGCCAAATAGGGCTTCTAATTCTAGGAGCCCAAAAAATTGACCATCTCCTCTAAAGATCTATAATATCTCTCCCTATAACCCAACAAAAAATAGTAGAAATAATAGAGAACTTAAGCATAGAAATAGGATTCTCCTTTCCTTCGAAAGATCTCTTATTCCTCTCAGGCCAAATACACCACCAAACACACAAAGGCATAACCTTCCAAACATCCTGGACTTGGGCCCCCACTATACAATCTCTCCAAGCCTTAATAAACCCTTTGGAGGATTTGGGCATGACCCACAGAACTTCAAACAAACCAAGCATCAAATCCCAACAATCTCTAACAAACCAACTCACATGATTCTACGCCTTCTCAGTGTCCAATTTGCAAAGAACACCAAGAACCCCACTATATAATCTGGAATCCACACATTCGCTAGCTATAAGGGCTGAGTCCAAAATCTGACGACCTCCAACAAAAGCATTTTGAGAGTCAGAAATAACCCCATCCAAAACTCTCCTAAATCTCGCTGCAAGAACCTTGGCAATTAGCTTGTAAATGCATCCCACCAAACTGATAGGGAGAAAATCCCGAACATCCAACGCCCCCCCTATCTTCGGAATGAGAGCAATGAAAGTGGCGTTCAGACTCTTCTCAAAACAACCCTGACCATAGAAGGTGTGAAAGGTACCCATCACCTCCCCTCTAACCACCTCCCAACTCTCCTGAAGGAATCTCATGGAAAAGCCATGAAGACCTGGAGCTTTATCCCCATTACAACTCTTCAAAGCGGTCAAGATATCCTCTTTAGAAAACGGCTCCTCTAACCCAGAACACTCCTCATTAGAAATAGAGTCAAATTGAAGCCCTCCAAGCAAAGGTCTCCAACCAGAGGTTTCTTTGAACAGCTTCGAGTAGAAATCAGCAATACCCTTACAAACCTCCTCCTCCTTACAAAACAACACCCCTTCCACCCGGATCCTCCGAATATGATTGCCCCTTCTGTGAGCATTGGCAAGTCTATGAAAGAAATTCATGTTTCTGTCACCCTCCTTGAGCCACAACGCTCTAGACTTTTGCCTTCACGAGATCTCCTCCATGATAGCAATTTCAGTAAACTCAGCCTGGCATTCCACCCTCCTACTCCTCAGGGACTCCATGAGGTCGCCTTATCCCTCCAAACAATCAATCTCAACAATCTTAGACAAAGCTCGATTCTTCCTCCGTTCCAAGTTCCCAAAGACCTCTTTGTTCCATATCTTATGTCTACCTTCAAAAAATGTAATTTTCCTGCAAGGGCATGACTTGAAGTGCCAACCACCCCATAACCCTCCCACCACGCCCGGACCTTGTCAAGAAATCCCTCTGCACGAAGTCACATATTCTCGAATCTGAAAGGGGATCTTCTACTTCGCAGTCCTCCATAATCCAACACCAACAGGATATGGTCAGCTATAGGACACGCCAAAGCAGCCTGAAAAACATCAGAAAACTTCTCCTCCCAATCTTCAGAAATGAGGAATATGTCCAACCGAGAAAAAGTAGGAGGAGAACAGCCATTGGACCAAGTAAAAAACCCTTCCTCCAAGGGCAAATCAATCAACCGAAAGTCATCAATGAAACCTGAGAAAAGCTCCATATCCAAAGTCTACCTACCCCCGTCGATCTCTCAAAGGGAAAGCGGACGACAACATTGAAGTACCCTCCAACACACCACGGCAACAACCATCTCCTATTGGCTGCCCTCAGCTCTTCCCAAAATAAATGACGCAAATTGTCGTCTGTAGGACCATAAACACCATAAAAGACACAATGGAAACCATCCTCTAACAAAGAGAGAGCACATGACATTGAGAAATTCCAAACCTGAGAGTCCACTTTAGAAACCCATCTACTATCCCACATAACAAGGACGCCTCCCGAGGAGCCTATACCATCCAAAGCCAACCACTCCACACATCTCCCACTCTAAAGGCTTCTAACAATCAAATCCGACATCGTGGTGATCTTGGTTTCCTGCAAACACACCACATGACAACCCCACTTCCGGACAACTGACTTCACCGCTTTCCTTTTATCCGGGTCATTGAGACCCCAAACATTCCATGATAAGATTCGTAGCTTCATAGGGAAACAATTGAGTTTCCTTTTCCTATTCTCTTCCCTCTACCCCTCTCCCTTAACCCCCTATTCCTCCTTTCATAAGCAACATAAGAAATGGGAATTTGCTCCTCCCTCTCACCTTTCTCTGAAGGAAATCTTACCCTACTTCCCCACATCATCGTTGTGCTAAAAATTGAGAACATCATGAAACATACCCTTTGCCTCACCCATCTTTCCTTCAGAAGTCACTCCCAATAGAGCACCCACCTCCACACGCTTATCCCTCATCCAAGCCTCCTCCATGCCTTCAACTCCCTCAATAGCAACACCTCCCACACACTCCCCCTTCGGTCCCACAGCAATCAACGGATCAAGCAAACCTTCATCCGGCTCAACTTCTTCCCACAGAACAATTCCCATCACCCCATCCAGAGAAGAACCCGAAAACCCATCCTAATCATCAAGAACAGAAGAAGAAAGTGAACTGCCAGCCATCGGAGTCCCAAACTCCACATCCGACACATCACCCTTTAGCACCAGACTATCAATTGAAGGGAGATGAAGCCCTTTCAAGGCCAAGTGTAGTCGAAGTTCATTAATCAAAACAATAGCAACATCATCATTAAGATTGATCTGAAAATCTTGCCCCACACAGACAGTGACAACCTTACAATTCTCATTAAGAGGAAGAATCTGAGAGGACCCCAAATTGTTACTAGGACATCCCACATGAAACTCATCTACATTCTCCTCATCAACACCCAGCTTTGTATCAATCTTAAAAACCGGTGACAATCTTCTGTACACAGAAGTCAAGACTCCCTTCTCCACCCCCGAAAACCGCCTCGACACCCCACAAGGAGTAGAGGATCAGAAAGAAAATGTCCAGTCTTAGAATTAGACTTACTCGGATCGTAGTCGGATTGTTTACGCAATACTCATTTTTGCTTGTCCTTATGAGTCCACCTTCTTCTAACTGTTGGTAGCTGAATCTTCTTGGTTCTCAGACGGTGCCCCTGCGAATGAACTTTTGCACGCCGAACAACTCTATGATCTGAACTGGGTAAAAGAGAAGAATGGGGCAGATCAAGATGTGTGCCCAAAGGCCCAAAACGGTTACACAAAGCAGGCCCAAAGAAACCAGAGCCCAAAGAGTGATCCAAAGGCTTAATAATTTGTAAATTGTTCGCATTGGGCTCACTAGGAAAAGAGAGAGTGGGACGGGCTTGCCGGTTTGGCCCCTAAACATTAAAAATCAAATGCATGACTTGTATCAATCGGCCCACAAGATAATGGGTTAAACATGCTCTCAACTACAGGCCAAAAACTGGCCCTAACTCATGCCCCATACCACAACCCAACTTTGAAGACTGGACCAGCACGCGCTGAATGGTTTGAGAATACATGGGTAGCAATTGTATCCCATCTTGAGCGGGATGTAAAACTGAGCCAACCATGTGTGTGGCTGCCCCTTCTTCCCCACTCACGCGCTGATGGCGCGTGGAAAACACCTTTGCGTCTTCTCCGATCTCACCACATCTCTAACGGATGAGATCCAAAACCACTGAGACCTCCTCTCTGTTTCTCTGGAACACCTGCGTGCCGGCCAAGATCCCACGAAGACGCAACACCCATCCTTCTCTGAGTGAACAAACGTTTGAAGCATGCAGTGTTTTGGATCCACAACGAACCCCTCCTTTCTTTCCATTTATGAAAATCAATTACCCCATTGGAGCCCTTAGAGAGCATACTCAGCCATTTATCCTCCCTTAGCAAGTGAGATCCATCTTCTCCTTCCAAACTGTTGGTCGTCGGAACAAGCTTGAGATGGGTTTCTTCCCACACAGCTACTTTATAGCAGAATCGGTCGTCATGTATGAAAATCACCGGAGGACAAGCGCGACCATCCGAAACAGTGATGTGAAGCCTCTCTGCATCAATGGATTCATCTGCGTCCACCCAAATAAAACCAACACAGAGATCCCTGACCGTCACAAAGAGGGCATGACACCAGAGGTGAAGAGGAAGACCATACAACGTCACTCTCTTCAGCCCTTGCTCTTTCAAAACCTCATAACAGCCCACCATAAAACTCTATGAATCAATTCGTAGCGTAGCCCTCCCCCAATCATGGCGTCCCTCCTTAAGAACCCGAGCTGCCTCCGCCGAAGAAGGGAGGTGAAAGAGAAGCAGCGAATCCAGTAATGGCGACACCACCACGTCAAAGGAAACCTTCTAGACTCGAGATGCCCAAACTGTGATTTGTGCCCAATCTCCAACTTCCTTATCAAATTTGCCCACCAGGAAAGACCGAAGGTCCTCCTTTCTCCTTCCAACCGAATCATCATCCACAAAAATCGAAGGGCCTCTGTAAGTGTTGGAAGAATTAACAGTCCCACCCTAAAAAATACGCGTTAACCGAGCCACATCCAAGAAAGATTGCATAATTATGTAACTTCGTAAACAAGCTCTCAAAAGTTGATCTATAAACCTCGTTAACCACAAGGACACAACAAACTCAATTGTGTAAAAAATCCAACATTCAACTCATTCACTATAAACTCGCAAATTCAAGCTCGGGATGAAAACCTTGAGCTTTAGGTAGGATTTAGCTTGGCAGCAGCCTCTTTGGGTAATAATATTTGGCTTGATTTGACCTTCTAGTTAAGCCAACCCATCTCAGTCCAACCAACCAAGGTTTCAGATCCCAATAAATTTTATACAACAAGCCTGACAAACTAGTCGTGTGTGAAACATACAGAACAATGATACAATAATACATGGAAAAAAAATGTCAATACTTATTCCAAGCACATAGATAATAGTTGTGAGTTGCAACTAGTTGAAGAGGAGATCAACGTAAATTGTACAATAGAAGACATGCCTGCTGCATATTGCGGCTGCTATAGCAAGATCCCCAGCAGTATCTGTCAGGGTCACCCCACTAACAATATTTAAAAAGACACCCTATAACCAAAGGAAACAGAACAATTAAATAAAAATGAACATGGACATTTGATCAGAATAATAAAATAACAACCAGGACAATCACTTAGGCCGTTCAAATGAACAAGACGAAGAGAACATATGCTAAATTTTGAGTTTTGTTCCTCAAATTGTCAAAATAAAAGCACTTAAAACTGCAGAATTAGTCAAATTCTTTATTTATTATTATTTTTTTGTTGAAGCAATAAAGTTGAACATAAAAGGAATCTCAATTTTCTATTGTTCCAACAGAAATATAGAGTCTAATAGCTTCAGGCTGAAACCTATTTCAACTCACATACTGATTATTAATTTTCTTCTTTAGGCCCTCTCATGTTTCTAACTACACAAATCTAACTTTTAAAACTATCAGTATCTAAAACAATAGATCAATCCATTTCCTCAGACCAGAAATGCACACTGATTATATTTCTAACTTCACTTTGTATTTTTATAAGGCCCACAAGAGGAAGGAAAAAATGGAAGGAAAGGGAGGTGGCTGAAAAAGTTTTCTCGGATTGGTAGGAAGGATAAAAGAAAAGGAAGAAAAAAATGGACATAGGGGTAAGTCCTTTCAGGCCACCAAAATCAATCCGTCGTAAAGTGGCCATAATAAATGGTGGGTAATAATGTAATTAGTCAGAGTTTGTGACCTACTTGTAATACTCAAATACTTGTATATATATATATATTTCTGTAGGGTTCTCTGTATTGAGAGAATACCCCCAATATTATGTCTCTTTCTCGGCAATTCTCTCTCTCTCAACATGGTATTAGAGCCAGATCCTAACTCTATGCCGTCAATAATTGTTTGTCTCCACTGATCGTTCGCCTCCTTCAAAGAGAGTCTCTGTCAGCGTGTGGCAGCCATTGTTGGCATATCATGTGTGTGTTTTTGTATCATACGATCTTGCATCAACGATAGTTGTTGATTACAGGTATTTGTCTTGGTTAACATCATCGATCTTCCTTGTCGCCTTCGTTGTTCATCGTTGCTGTGTGTAAAGGATCTGGTTAACCCAATTCAGCTAGATTCAAACAGGGTTAAGTCCAACCAGTATAGTCCAATCTGACTAATAAACATGGTTTTCAGATTAGTCCAGGTAGCTTTTTCCAGCGAGTCTGACCCATTGGAGACTGATTCCGTCTACTGTATTGGTATTTCTTGCTCTGTTACCTACTCCACTTCAACTTCTACTGTTTTGTTTATTCTTCCAGCAAACTACTGGACATGGCAGATTCCAATGAAAAATTAAATGATCATGTTGGGATACAAATTACTACTGTTAAACTTATTAATACCAATAACTTGATGCTCAGGCAGTGAAAAATATTCTTAGGAGCTAGAAGTAAATTCAAGTTTATCTGGATGACCCTCCACCGAAAACCGATAAAGGGCTTGATGATTGGGATACTGGAAATTACATGGTTATGTCATGGCAATGGAATAACAAGGAACCTTCAATTGCAGCCAATTTATGTTTGTTAATATTGCCAAGGAAATTTGGGATGCAGTTTGTGAGAATTATTCTATCAACAAAAATGTTTCTCGCATTTACTCTGTGTGAGAAAATGTGCCTTTATCGCCAGTCAGGTAAAAGCATAGGTGAATATTACCGTGCTTTCAAAGGACTGTTGGATGAGTTGAATTAGTACCACCCAGTGAGGAATTTTATGTATCTAGTTTGGAGATTAGTATCTAATCTCCAAACTATTCGTAACCAAATTCTTGCTAGTGATGGAGGACTTCCATCTCTGGGTAATGTGTATGCTCGTTTACTTAGAGTTGTTGAATCGTCATCATCTTCTAAATCAGTTGGAAGAGAAAATTCTGCTATGTTGACCTCATTTGGTAGTCAAAATTCAACAAGGGGTCGTGGTACTTCTAGTGGTAACCAAAACTATGGAGGAAATACGGCTAGTACTCGAGGACATGGTGGTTGTGATCATGGTCGTGGAAGACGTGGTTGTGGCCGTGGAGAAGCCTGTCATTGTGGATATTGCCAAGGCACCAATCATAACATTGATGCTTGTTGGGAATTATATGCAAAACAAGCTTGGGAAAATCAGATGTCTTCTGACAATGTTTTTTCTCATCCTGAAGTTGGGAAAGACCATCCAGTTTCCAGTGATTCCAACTCCCAGCCCAGTTCCTGTACTAATAACACTATCACGCTTTCTCGTAAGGAGTCGAGTGCCCTAGTCAAGAAGGCACAACATCAACCTACTAATGATGTTGCAACATTTGCCCATTCAGGTAATATTGCATGTTTTTCAGATTTACAGTGTTCATCCTCCCCATGAGTCATTGACTCGGGGGCATCTGTACTGGTAAGGATTCTTTGTTTACTACATTACACGAGTCTAATTCTACATCCATTGTTATTCTGGCATTTTCCCTTTAATTTGCTATCTGTCAGTCAAATGACTCGTTCGCTTAATTGTTCAGTGACTTTTTATCCTTCCTATTGTGTCTTTTAGGACCTCAAAATGAAAAAGACGATTGGTGGTGGTCATGAACGGAATGGTCTTTACTAGTTGGATTGTGGTTCTACTACCTATGGTGTAGCTCTCCACACAAAAGTATCTGCCCAATAGTGGCATTATCGACTTGGTCATCCATCTTTGAAGTATTTCAAGGCTGCATTACCTTTTCTTGAGTCAGTGTCTCATTTAGAATGTGAAGCTTGTCACCTAGGCAGGCATCACCGAGTTTCGTTTGCTTCTAGAGTCGACAATCGTCGATCTGCCCCTTTTGAGTTGGTGCATACCAACAGTTGGGGCCCTACCCATCATAAAAGTGTATTGGGTTTTTCATATTTTGTTATTTTTGTTGATGACGATTCAAGGATGACTTAGTTATTTTTAATGAAAGATCGTTCTAAACTCCTGTCAATTTTTTAATCATTTTCTAAAGAAATTGAAGTTAATTTTGGCTGGATTATTCGCACTTTGCAATCTGATAATGCTATTAGAATATATTGAAGGAGTTACTTAATATTTTTGTGATACGGATACCCATAGTTGTTGAAGGCTCAAGACGCACAAAAGCGCAAATGTCTCCTGGAGCCTGAGGCGCAAGGCGAGGTGCGCGCCTGACTGAAGTAAGGCGCACGTTGAAAAAAAAAAAAAAAAAAAAAAACCCACCCAATAAAATATTAAAGATGTAATAGTGTATGTAAAGATGTAAAAGTCAACTAAATGAATTACTTAAGTTAAATATTCAACATAAAGATTGCAAAACCAAGTAAATCAAGTACTTGAGTTCAACAGTGAATAATCAAACATATTAAAACTAAAACAAACAAACATAAACATCATATATGGATTGCATAACATGTTCACACATTTATATACACACACTTACTACTTGCATATACTATATGAGATTTATCTACTATATGAGATGTAATATATATGCATATATGGACTGCATGATACCATATACCAATTGATATGTATACTACAATTTATTCCAGTAGCACAGAATTGTATACTACAATTTATTCCAGCAGCACAGATTATAAATAAATAAATAAAAGAAGAGGCTAAACTCTGAAGAGCAGAAGCACAGAGAGCCGAGAAGAAGAATAGAAAAAAAAAAATACCATTGAAAGACACCATTACATTGGACAAAGATGTTTGGACTGACACTAAGGGGATCCATTACGTTGGACTAACCCAAGGATCCATTACTGATTTTTAATTAATTGTGTCCCAGAATCAAATTTTAATATAAGAAAATATTGTTGAAATTTGCGCGAGCCTTTGAGATTTTATAGAGAAAAAGAAGAAGAAAATAAGAAAAAAACTGGAGAAAGAAAAAATAAAAAAATAAAAATAAAAAGAAGAAGACAAAAAAAAAAAAAAAACAAATCTGCCAGGACTCAGGAGAGAGCCGAGACTCGAGAGAAGAAGAAGAAGAAAAGAAGAAAAAAGAAAAAGAAAAAGAAGAATAAAACTAGAGGAAAAAAAAATAAAAAAATAAATAAAAATAAATAAAAAGAAGAAAAAAAATAAAAATAAATGATATAAATCTGGCAAGAAAGAACCGAGAGTCCGAGAGTCGAGAGAAGAAAAGAAGAAAAAAAAAAATCTGACAGATCCTGCAGATCCGAGAAGAGGAGGAGAGAAGAAGAGAAGAAGGAGAGAATAAGGAGAACTTACCTGCTGAGTGTTTGCCGATGGCGCAACGCAGATCCGAGAGTCCGAGTGAGCACTGTATTGCCTTCGTTGCCTCTGTCTTCTTCTTTCCTTTGCTTCTCTTTTTTTTTTTTTGTTTTTTTATTTTGCAAGGCTTTCGACTTTGAGCTTTCTACTATATTAAGTAATAAAATAATAGAATACAATAATATAACAATACACACTTACACGGAGTCACAGACAATAAACAAACAAAAAAAAAATAGCGAAAAAAAGTAAAAAAACCACAGTTTCATGCAGGCGCGCCTTTATAGCGCTTGTAACTTGGCACATGCCTCTCTTAACACAGACGCCTTAAGTGTACCCAAGGCGCAAACATGGCGCTTGGAGGCGCCTTGCGCCTCAGGCGGGCTAGGCGCCTCTAGGCACCCGCCTCCGGCGCCTTTAACAACTATGCAAATACCCATGGTATTCTTCATCAAACATCTTGTTCTAATACCCCCTCAACAAAATGTGGTTGCAGAACAAAAAAATAGACATTGTTGGTTGTTTACGGTCTGAGGAAACATGATCAAACCGTAAACAACCAACAATGTCTCCTCAGACCATTTCCCTTCATACACATGTTTAAAACATGTAGATGTAGATAGAAGAATCAACAATGATTCCTCAAACCGTTCCCTTCATGCCTATGTTTAAACAAAGTCTCCTCAGACCATTCCCTTCATGCATATGTTTAAACAATGTAGGTGAAAGAATCAACAATGTCTCCTCGGACAATAAAAAAGAAACAATTATGTCTCCTCAGACCATTTCTGAATAGGTGGTGTCAAACTCGCAATGCCCTCAATGAGGTTGGACCACCCTGCCTACTTGACACCCCCCGGATGGGCGATGTCACCTTAAACCATTCCCGAATGGGTGGTGCCGAACTCACAATGCCCTCATTGCAGTCAGACCACCTGGCTTTGATATCAAGAAGAAATATAAAAGGAAGAAAAATGAGAGAATTGTGTAAAGGTTTGAATACGATAAATCACTCATTCACAACTTTAGTATATATAGATAAAAAGAGCACATGCTCATATTACAAGAAAGGAAATTAAATCAAATCTAAATCAAATCACATCACATTCTTTTGCATATTCTATGTCATGATTCGTGGCTATCAAATCTCTGCTAATATGGTAAGTCATTCCATAAATTGTGGCTATCTGCTAACATCATCCTATTGAAAAATTTCCTTTGCTTATTTATCTCCCTGTTTCCCGTCATTTGTCTGTGCTTTGTCTTCGGTTTCAATTCCCCAATCTTATCTTCAAGCATTGTCCTCACCTAGTTGGAAACATGCAATGATGGAGGAAATGGGAGCTCTTCAGCAAAATGATACACGGGACTTAAAACTCATTTACCTCCAGGAAAGCAAACAGTTCGTTGTCAATGGGTATATGCCATCAAATATCATCCCGATGGTACAATTGAAAGGCTAAAGGCTCGCTTGGTAGTGAAAGGATATACTCGGACATATGGGGTCAATTATTTTGAAACATTTTCTCCCGTTGTTTGCCTTACTTCTATTCGTTTTCTTTTATCAGTTGCAACTATTCAGAATTGGCCCCTTTATCAGCTAGATATCAAAAATGCATTTTTACATGGAGACCTTCAAGAAGAAGTTTACATGGAGCAACCACCTGGATTTATTCCTCAGGGGGAGTCACATTTGGTGTTTCCACTAAAAAAAAGCTATATATGGGTTAAAACAGTCTCCAAGGGCATGGTTTGGTAAATTTAGTGTTGTGGTGAGTAAATATGGATTAAAGAGAACTACATCAGATCATTCAGTTTTTGCGAGACATTGCAAGAATGGTACCATCATCCTAGCAGTCTATTTAGATGATATTGTTGTGACAGGGAATGATAAATGTGGTACTGATGACCTAGAGGAATATTTGAGCAAGCATTTTCATATGAAAGACTTGGGCCGATTGAGATATGTTTTGGGGATAGAGGAAGCAACATCTCAGAAAGGAATTTGCATATCCCAAAGAAAGTACGTATGTGATTTATTAAGCGAGACAGGGATGCTAGGAGCAAAACGTACTGATACTCCCATGGATTCAAGTATAAAGTTTCATCCAGATGAGGGAAATCTTCTTAATAATCCAGGTAGATATGGAAGACTTGTTGGCCAATTAATATATTTGACCGTGACAGGACCAGACATAACCTTTGTTGTAGGGGTGGTAAGTAAATTTATGCAGCAACCTAGACAACCTCATTTGGATGTAGTATATCGTATTTTAAGATACTTAAAAGGAGCTCCTGGTAAAGGACTTGTCTTTAAGTCCTCTAAAAGGATGGATATTGTTGTATTCACTGATGCTAATTTGGCAGGAAGCCAAGTGGATAGGAGGCCTATATCTGGATATTGCACATTTGTGGGAGGTAATTTGGTATCATGGAAAAGTAAAAAGTAAAATGTCGTGGTTAGATCGAGTGCCGAGGAGTATAGAGCAATGGCTCATACAGCTTGTGAAATGATGTGGGTAAAATCTCTTTCACGAGAGATACTTATAAAAAAAAAAAAAAATCTCTTTCACGAGAGATGGGTTTTTCCAACGACAAGACCATGAGAAGGATTTGTGATAATCAGGCAGCTATGCATATTGCTAGTAATCCAGTATTTCATGAGAAAACTAAACATATAGAGGTAGATTGTCACTTTGTGAGAGACTTGGTGTTGAGTAAAAGGATAGGTACAACATATGTGAGATCCAAATACCATTTAGGAGATGAATTTACCAAGGCATTGGGAAGTCTCAATAACCATAATTATGAAACAAGCTGGGAATGATAGATATCTATGCTCCAGCTTGAGGGGTAGTATTGGGTAATAACGTAATTAGTCATAGAGTTTGGGGTCTACTAGTAAATATATATATATATATATATATATATATATATATATATATAATAAAAATCTATAGGGTTCTCTGTATTGAGAGAATACCCCCAATATTACGTCACTTTCTCTGCAATTCTCTCTCTCTCACTCAACAATACAAGAAGCAAGTATATAATGGCAAACTTGGGGAAGTAAACTTCTTTTAGAGTTTTTTCCTTCAAATATCATCCTTGTCTTAATATGTAAGGAATCTACAAATATAATGGCAAAGCAAGTATATAGTGGTGTATCTTTCGCTACCTCCCTTTCTTGCTCAACCAAACAGACAACTAAAAATGGTTTTCTTTCCCTCCCTTTACCTTCCCATCCATCCTACTTTACCTTCCTCTCAAATTTCCATATTTCTTAAAATATGAAGCATTATATGAAATAGAAAAAGAGAACAAAGGAGACTATATTTGAAAACAGTAGCAAGTGAAATTTCAATTACATTCTCCTGGAGCTTTAGACCAGCTTGCTTCGTAAGAACCTACAAGTTAAGACATAAAACAGTCAGTTCAAAACATATTCAATGAATATTCTAGCATGCCCCTAAGAAAGTATATAGTACACTTTAATCATTCAGATCTACACTTGTGTTTGAGATAACAGAAAGACAAGCTGGAAAAGCAATATAACTAAGTGAATTATATACAGTTTCTATTGTTAACAGAACTCAAGAAATGAAAAAACGAACTTTTAAGATTTATATATTATGCTGTTAAGATCGTACACAAAAGAGAAGATCCAGTTAAGTAGAAATTTTAGTTTAATCAGGTTCCAAATAATAAAAACAACAATAAAATAATGATAGATTAAAAATTTCTTATGATTTTCCCACCTTTTTCCAATGAATTAAAAGAGAATTAAGGTTTTTGTCTAAGGAACATAATTATCCTAGAAAATTAAAAGCTGTGCAAACAAATGCCAGTCAAGAAAAAGTTGACTTCTAGGAAGCATGGACACACCTAAAAGGGCCAAAAAAACCGTGTTGGACAAGCCAAAAAACGTGTCTGTTTTTTTTTATTTTTTTTCTTTCTTGAATATTTGGACACGGCACGGACACAGTTTGACACACCATGGATACATGTCCAACACGCGTATCCCATTCTTGAGATTTTAATTTTTTTAAGGTATTCTGGGAGATTTTTAAGAAAGTTTTAGAAAGAAAGTTGGGTTGAAGAACTATCAGTTACGATGGTCATTACATAATTACTTAAAAGTTGTTTTATAAAACAATTTTATAACAAAACAATTTATGCTTATGTTTTAGTTCAAAGGTTCAAACTCTAGCACGATCATCTTTGAATCTCTCTTGTTCTCCCACCAACCAAGCTTTGCTGCACCAACCAAGCTTTGCTGCTTGTGGATGGTCTCCCCCCCTCTTTTCTCTCTTCTTCTTCGTCACAAGTCCTAGATACTTCTTTTTTCCCATTCACAACAAAATTGTTTTGCGTCGCTATTTCTTTTTTCCTCTTGTTTCCATGAACTTTTTCCTAACAAAATCCTAATCCTCTTTGTTTATTTGTTTTTATTTTTTTTCTCTTTCTTAACCTTCTTTCTATCATTTTTTTTTTTTTTTTTTTTTTCATTATTAGGTTGATAAAAAATAATATTACTCTTAATTTCTTAAACAACAACATATATTTATTATTCGCCGTGTCCGTGTCCTGAGCTTTGTCACGACACAAATCCATAGGATCCAAGTCATGAACGGATATGGATATAACCTGGACTCTTACAGTCTTACTCAAGTCCGTCCCGGAAACAATGGGTGATTTGGACCCTATTCGTGGTTAAAGCCTTAAAGGCATGGTTAACACTTCAATTTGGTCTCATTAGGTACTAAACTAGACATTGGATTGCCATGGAATTTGCCTGGGTGAGCCCAAACCATCAAGGCAAGGTTGAGCCAAATCGGCCGGCTGATAGGACTTTTTTAGGATTTGTCGTGTCACCGTGTGAGTGTCGTGTTGTATCCGTTTCCGTGCTTCTTAGGTTGACTTCAAGCATTATATTCATATTCAGGAGTATGTCAATTTATTGGACAAAAAAAATAATGAAAACTGTATATACAAGGATGCAAGTTTCATTAACAATCAATGGTCAAGTGAAAAATCTAGGACCAAA